GGGGGGGGGGGGGGGAGTGTGAAAAAAAACAAAACAGAAGCGCATTAGAGTAAAACAATTATTAACATACGCGCACTACTATAAACCTTGTTGACTGAAACTTTGTCGACATAATTTCAGTATAACAATTCCGTAAATACAATATTTAACTTTGTAATAAAATATTATCGCAACGATTCGTGTACATATATAATCGCGAACAATATCTCGCCTTAATTCGAGTTCGAAAACTTTCCGGGACTATTGCAGTAGGTATTACACGGAGGGATATATCATTTTAATTGCACCGAATGCAAATTCGTTTTTTCTCGGCACCGTTCCGAAATTCCAAACGCACGATGTATAATATGTATGCTCGTAAATAATAACTTGTTGGATTAAAATATTATAATTGAAACGCATTTGCATTTAATAAAAGTATCATTTGCCTCGTTTCAAAAAACGACGGCGTGCCATTCAGTGGGGAAATTACGATTAGTAGTCGAAATTGAAATGTAATACGAAATTAATAGTAATAAAAAAAAAAAAAAAAAAACAAAAACGAAAACCATTATATAATAGAGGAGATTATATCGGTGAATATGTATTTTTGTTTTTGTTTTGTTTTTTTTTTTTCATAAAAAACTGTAATATTAATTTAATAAAAATTAAATCGAATAGACTCTCTCGTCGGCACCGCAACATAACCGATTAATTACCATCCGCGTTCGGAATCTAGAACGACGTGGTTAGGCCGGTCAAGGAGCCGCGTTCGGCTGGTGGGGGTGGGCCGATAATCAATCGGTTTTGGCGGTCGACAGACCAGCAGCTGGAGGAGACGCCGCGTTGACGGTCGCAAACGATGGTCGCGTGAAGGAGATCGAATACACCCGAAAAATAAACAATGATTACCGGATCTTATAATTTTAAGCCGTCCCCTTTCACCTTTCTCTCTCCCCCAAAAATATATTCCAAATTAGTTTCGTATTATGTTAAATACTTTTGAAGAACCCCGTATACGTGTTTGTATTATAACGTCCCGTGTTAAATCGTTTCATCGCCAAAATTACTCGGACAATATTTCTTTGCGGAAAAGGTGTTACACTTGAAAATCAGAGTGAGATTTCTGGTAGAATAGCGGTTCGTAGAATAAAAAAAAAAAAAAAAATGCGCACAATTGTAAAACCAATAAATCGTTCGCTTTGCTCGGAACCTAAAACGAAAGGTTTTCGATTGTTATTTTTCACTTCCATCCGGTCACGCCGAGTTTGGTTATTCGAATATTGTCCGGTCGAAATCACTTAACGAAATAATATTTACATTCGGTATTTAATACAAAAAATAAAATTAGGAAAAAAATCTCGATCGTTTTGCAATACCTGCTAGATAAAGCGATGTTTATTTCCCGTAACATTTGAAAATTTCTTTCGGCGAACGGTTATCAAAAAATTAACACAATATAATCGTACAATAATATCATATTTCGACTAGTTTTTTTTTTTTTTAAAAATAAATATTTTGACAAAATTTAAGACAAACAGACGAATAGGACAAATAATATGTGTGTGTATTCAAGTCGTAATCAAATTGTGTTTTAAATTATTTTCGGATTTTCTGCTTTGAAAAAGATCACGCGTGCGTTTTGATTCGTAAACAACACGCGACCATATAACAATTGAAATATAATTTTATTTTTTTTAAATTCAATAATTTTTTCTCCGAATACGAATAACGTCGATAACAAATGCAACACAGTAGTGTTGAATTCGCAGTGAAATTCGGGTCAAGCAAGTCGGACGGCCTCCCGGCGCAACCGACCGGCAACGGTGACAAATTCAACGGCGACAACGTGTTAACCCGACCGTCAACCCGGTGTCCCGTCTGATCGAACGTCCGACGAGCGAAACGTTCGAATGGGAAACGCGCGGAT